TTTCATATATTTACATCTTATCTCCCAATCAGATAATATATACCTGAAAGGTATATATACTAACTTTGAGGGTGCTTTGTTACATAGCATTTACTCAGGCTTGAGGTCCAGGATCTAGGTGGTAAGATTTGGCTGGCCCCTTGTGCCTGAGCTTGGTATCATGGTGATCCTGGGACTTGAGGGTCTATGGGAAAATATAAGGATGGGAGAGGTGTGAATTGTTGTGACCAGTGGGCAGACTGTGACAATCTAAAGATGGCCACCTGTATGTGTTTATCTCATTGTACATGCTCTTCTCGCAGTGTAACTGATACTCCTCACCTAGTGGTGAGGTAGGTCTATGTTCTTGGCCATTGATTCTGGCCAGGGGTATGTGACTGCCTTCATCAATGACATACGATGACTTTCAAGGGTACATCATAACAAAATAAATGTAACTCCTACTCAGAGCTCTCTCTGTTTCTCAATGCTTGCAGTGTTGTAAGGAAGCCCAAACCATGTGGAGCAGTCACATGTAGGTAGTACAGCCAATTACTCTAGCTAAAATCTCAGCCAACAGTCAACATGAACTGCTAGACATATGACGATTCTAGCTCCCAGCCTTCATTAGCTCCCAGTCCCCCACCAGCCATTGTGGAGCACAGAATGTGCTCTTTCCTGTACCCTCTATACCTGTCTGAATATCTTACTTCCTCTCTGTACCTTGTCTGAATTTCTTACTCATAGAAACCATGAAGGACAATAAATGTTCACGGTGGTTTGAAGCCACAAAGTTTTGGGAGTGATTTGTTATGCAATAATCGAAACTAATACATTATGTAAAAAATTTGAAGTGTTTATTTGTGTCTGAAATTTTTTTCAACAGAGGAGACATTTGAAAGCTATTAGCTTCAGTCCTGGAGGAGCAAAGACATATTGCAATATTTGGAATTTATTGTGAAATGGGATTTTTTATGAATATTGCCAATTTTATCCCTAGGTTTAAGATTTTTTCTAACTATTAGTATACCTATTTTTTTGTGTGGAGAAAACTTTCAATATTAAAATTGATATTTAGCTAATGAAGGAATGATATATACCACAAGAATGAAGATTGAAAACATTATGAAAACATTGTGAAAAAAGCTAGACACAAAAAGTGACATATTATATGATTTCATTTATATTGAATACATATATTTTTTACCAGCATGATTATACATATGAGCACATGAGTTCAATAAAAATATTTTTACTCTTTGTTTTTCTTTTCTGGCCATTATTATGTTTCATATCATTATTAGTAAGGAAAATAATTTTTTGTTATAGAGGAGAAGCACTTTAAAATGATATGTTTCAGTTGTCATATATGTAGGATATGCCATTAGCATCAGAAACTGTTATTGAGAGTCCACATCAGAAAAAACTCAAGGTCCACACTAGAATGGCAATGAAAGGAATGGAAAGGCTGCATGACTAGCATGAAAAACACTGATACAGTTCTCTACAGTTATGGGGGCAAGGAACAGATATATTTTAGTATTCAGATATGAGATATATTTTCAGCCTGATAATAACCGGAAATTCTTGGAGGCTTGGTTTACAGATATAGGTACTCAATGCCTAGAACTGCCTTTGAACATAGAGGTTCTTTAATGCATATGTTTTGTTTGAATGAATGAATGATTTATCTAGGACACATCTTATCTGCCTCACCTAACTCTCCATCCATCTTTTCACTCCAGCTATGACTGTGGAACCAACAGCTTCCAGGTGTCACCTGACAATATCTGCTTTTATCTTTTGCTTTTTGCTTAGGGGTTTCTTTGCTGCGGCCTTGCAGGACACCTACCATTTTCTGACACCTGTGTAAACCTAGAAGAGTAAGGGAATTAACACTTAAGGGGGAACTTTTGACCACTGGGAGTGGGAGCAAGTGGATAAACATTCCCCACTCTGTCTCTTGAATCACATTATATATGGCTCCACAAGGGTCCTCAGGGGGACAATGCTCCTCCTCTGAGTGGCACAATACCACACCCTTGGCCAGAACTTCCATCCCTCCCTGTTTCATTTACTCTTCTTGGTCTACCTTTTTTGTCCCTTGGGATTGCTTTCCACAATACACTGCACACATCTAGTTCTTGTCTCAGGCTGTGCTTTCTGAGGGGAGCCCAGCCTAAGACAGATTCCTATGTAGAATGGAATTAGCACTGGATAAAGACCCAGGAAGCCTGGGTTCCAGACCGAGCCTTGTCACTAACCTCAAATAGACATGGGACTTCCATCACCATTTTCAGATGCACCTGTGTTGACAGGTAAAGGTGTCCAAGCCATTTGTTAACTGAACAACAACAACAACAGCAGCAACAAAAGCAAGGCATGGCAATTGCTTGTAGTATCTCTTATATGTATAAAGAGAGCTTATGTGTATACGTATATACGTTAGTAAATGTATACAAACTGGACTATCATGGTTTCCTATATTTTTTTGTATGACTTGAATAGTTTACAAGGAGAATGTATCTTGTGTAATAATAATAATAATGATAAAAGAAGCAACCACCTCTAAGGCCTTGGATTATAGTGAAAGTGCAGAGCCTGAGGCAAAAGCGCTTCAAAACACCAAGTGAGAGAGCCAAATTGCGCTCAGGTGCGCTGGGAGGCAGCGAGCCACGACAAAGGCCAGTGGGGCGAGAAACCTGGAACTGCTGGAGAGATGGCCGCTGGGTCATCCTTTGCCAGGGGGTAGAAGAGTAGGTTAACCTAAATTTGCAACTACCCGCTCTTCCCTGGGCTGGACACGGCCAAAGTCATAAATTCCATCCTTCTGCTGCAGCCCAGACTGGAGGGTTTTCAGAGTGGAGGGTCCTCCCTCCACTCCCCCCCGCCCGCCCCCCCCGCCCCCCCCCCGCCGCGCCAAGAGAAATTTGGCACCCGGAGTAGTCTTCGGGCTCTTTTGTACCACATTTGCGCTTCACAACTCTCCCTTCTGCTCCCCACCCTCCCCCCCAACAACCGCAGAGGGGAAATTGAGTCACTGAGAGGCGAGGCCGAGTAGCCAGGGGAATGTGCGCCGACGCCAGCCCTCAGGGCCTTCCAGATGCTAGGAGGAGGGGGAGGTTCTCCAGGAAAATATACAAAGGGGGTGAGAGGGGGAGGCTGCTGGCTGTGCAGGAGCTGAGCCAGACACATGGAGAAACGCTGCCCAGGATCAAAGGAAATATGACATTTGAAAAGAATGTGCGCGTCTGCCTGTGGTGCGGAGGGGGGCTCGGGGTGGCGCTGGGGTGGGGTGGGGGGCTCGGGGATGGCCTGGTGGAGGGCAGCAGGGGCTGGGTCCGGGTCGGGGTCTTCACCCTGCCCTTCTAGACTCTGCTTCCCACCACCCTCCCCCGTCCTTCTGAGGTGGTCGCTAGTCGCAGGTCTCAGGGTGTTGCTCGCTCTCCCGCCTTCCTTTATTTCCGAGTTGAAGCTGGAAGGGAAATGTAACCTGAGAAACCAACCAAAGGGGGGGAAAATCAAACCAGGCCGCCTCCCCACTCTCTCGGCCTCAGAACATTCTTCCCTCCGCGCCAGCCCTGCCTCCTCTCCCCGCCCCTCCGGCGTCGCGGCCCTGGGCTCGGAGCCGGGGCAGCTCCGCACGTCACTGGGGTCCCCGGGGGCTGGGGGGGTCCCCAGGGCGGGCCAGAGGGAGGATGGGAGGGAAGGGATGGGAGCCGCCTCGACTGCTGCGGAGCTCGGGCCGGCTGGGCCAGCCCTCCCCTCTTTGCTTGCCCGGCCGAGCCTGTTTCTCATTAGAGTAACGGGCGCGGTCCCCGCCCGGCTCCCGAGTGTTTGTAAACGTCTGACCCGATGGGCCGTCCCTTAACCCTTTAGATGCGGGGCTGTGGCACCACGGATGGGGGAGGGGAGCAGCTCTGAGCAGGAAAGACTTGAAGATCGTGTGCTAGAAAGGTTTGAAGTACACGGTCTGCGTGGGGGGGAAATGGTAACACCCCATCCTGTCCGACGTCCGAGCTCGAATCTCGAATCTAAATCTGTCTTCACACAACAGGGTCCTCCCTTGCCTGCCCTTCCTAAGAAATCCAGTCCGAGTTTTCCTTCCTCCTCTCGCCCAGGTGACAGGTGTCCCACTACGGGGCCCACCAAGTCGTGGGGCTCCGGGCCCATAGTAAACCTGGCCAGGATTTTCGAGAGAGCCGGAGCGGGATGCCAAAGGGCAGAGACTCATTCCAGACTTCAGTTCTGGGGGGAAGGGAGCCGACTTCCCGCGGAGGCTAATTAATGGCCTCTCGGGGTGCCTGGGACAAGGGCATCGGTAAAGCCCGGCCTGGATCATCGCCCATTTGGGGCCATGGACCTATGAACTGATCCCCAGGACGGTTGAATGTTCTTCACCTTTTGGGGGTGGGGTGGAGTGGGAAGGAGAGACAGACGGCGGAAGGGCTGCTTTGAGAGAGCAAAGGCTTCGCCAAGGCCCAGAGAGGTCGCCTCAGGCGAAGGATTTCGAAGGAATAGCCTTTTTGCTTTTCAGAGCAGCCTGGAGCCGCTCTGCACCCGAGTGTCCCCTTGGCCTGAGGGATAAGGGGAGGAGAGGTGGTCCTTCCTAGCTAGTTGATGACTGCAGAACTTCTTCAGAACTTAAGAAACGGCCTTCCGTGGACCTTCTGTACTGTGGGCACCAAATGTGGCCCCTTTAAGGCGCTCGGACCCAGAGCCCCTGAACTTAACCTAAGTTGGGGGGGAGTAGTGGTGGTAGTGCTCCCCGCGAGAAATGATTGTCACAACTGCGGGCCAATCGGCATCATTATGGTCATACCACGCTTGAGGGACCGTTTTCCAATTCAGTTTTGCGCTCTCTCTTTTTTTTGAGGGGGAGGGGCTGGAGAGAGGACAGAGGGAGAAAGAGAGGGTGGGGGAGGACGAGGGGCGCGTGCATCCCTGGAGGAGGGGCTGGAGCATCCCGGGCAGCCAATCAGGGACAGGCTGGGGGGGCCGCTTTGAAGAAGTTTGGGGGAAAAAGTTTGGAAAAGTTTCTATAATAACTAGGGGGCGTCCGGAGGGAGGCGGCAGCGGCGGAGGAGGGGGCGTCTTAAAGAAGGGGAGGGAGGGAGCCACGGGTGAAGCGACGGCAGCCTCCTGAGCTCCCCCCTCCCACCCTGACCCGGACCTGGGGTCTCAGGCCGGATCCATGGGGGCAGCAAGCTGCGAGGATGAGGAGCTGGAATTTAAGCTGGTGTTCGGGGAGGAAAAGGAGGCCCCCCCGCTGAGCGCGGGGGGGCCGGGGGAAGGTTAGTGCGGGGCTGGGAAGGGGTCTCGGGGTCAATGAGGGACGTGCCGGGGATCCTGAGTCTGGGAACTTCAGGGCAGCGAGCCTGGGGTGGGAGATGAAGGGGTCAGAGGTTGAGGGGAGTAGCGAGGCTTGGGGGGTCTGCGGACGTCTGCCGGGGGCCGGGCACCACTTTCTCCTTTTTAGGTCGTGCCTGGGGTGGGGGTGGGGGTGCCGCGGGCTGCGCGCCGCCTCTAGGTTGGGCCGACTGTCACAGGCAAGGGGCTGGACGCGAATAGCGGTCCGGAGAGCCCCTGGCGCGGCCGGGGGACGGGAAGGTGGGACTCTGGAGCTTGCCCCTTGCGGACTGAGCCCTGACCCCGCGGACCTGAAGCCCCGGGCCGGGGGCGCTCTCCGGCTCAGTCAGGGCACCCCTCCCCCTCTCCCCGTCTGGCCGCAACGAGAGGCAGATGGCTGGGACTGAGCCGGGGGTGGCGGCCGCCGCTCGCACGGAATCCGCGCGGCGTGCGTCCCCCTCCCCCCACCGGGCCGAGCCTTGCGGGGCAAGCAGCACCCCAGCCCCCCGAATTGAGGGGAGCGAGGGAGGAGCCACCTCCCCTCGTCACGACTGCCCTGGCGCCCCCCTCCCCTGGCCACTGTTGCGATAGCAACTGGGGCTCCTGCCAACGCAGTTTGGGGGTTTGGGAACCGCTGCTAATTGGGTTCATGTGTGAGTCGCCCCTAGCCCATCCCAGCGTCTCTCTAAACGCGCCTTCAGGCCGGGCTCCAGCCCCTCCTGACCCACCTCCCTCACCTTAAGACCTAACAGGTTTGGTACCCGAGGTCCGAGGGCAGAGGGCTCAGGGTGTGAGCTTTTCCGTTTGGGGGGAAAGGCTTGGCACTTCTGAATCTATCTCTTCCACCTTTGCTCCTGTCTTTGTGGCTTTAAGGGCACTGCACAGAACCCTCTTTGCTGAGGAGCGGGTGGCATACGGGATTTAGGGGGCTGCTGGCTACTGAAGGAACCTAGACATCTCATCTGCTTCTCTCTTTTCCCATCTCCTGTGGCGTCCCTCTCTCTGTTCCCCTCCCTTCCCATTTTGACAGAACTGGACTCAGAGGACACGCCGCCATGCTGCCGTCTGGCCCTGGGGGAGCCCCCTCCCTATGGCGCCACCCCTATTGGCATTCCCCGGCCGCCACCCCCTCGGCCTGGCATGCACTCACCACCGCCCCGTCCAGCCCCCTCACCAGGCACTTGGGAGAGCCAGCCAGCCCGGTCGGTGAGGCTGGGGGGGCCAGGAGGGAGCTCTGGTGGGGCTGGGGGAGGCCGTGTCCTTGAGTGTCCAAGCATCCGCATCACTTCCATCTCTCCTACGCCTGACCCGCCAGCTACTCTGGAGGACAACCCTGATGCCTGGGGGGACGGCTCTCCCAGGGATTACCCCCCTCCAGAAGGTTTCGGAGGCTACCGAGAGGCAGGGGGCCAGGGCGGGGGCCCCTTCTTCAGCCCGAGCCCTGGCAGCAGCAGCCTGTCCTCGTGGAGCTTCTTCTCAGATGCCTCGGACGAGGCAGCCTTGTATGCGGCTTGCGACGAGGTGGAGTCTGAACTAAATGAAGCAGCCTCCCGATTTGGCCTAGGTTCCCCACTGCCCTCGCCGCGAGCATCCCCTAGGCCATGGACCCCTGATGATCCCTGGAGCCTGTATGGTCCAAGCCCTGGAGGCCGGGGACCAGAAGATAGCTGGCTACTTCTCAGTGCTCCTGGGCCCACCCCAGCCTCCCCACGGCCTGCCTCTCCATGTGGCAAACGGCGCTATTCCAGCTCGGGAACCCCATCTTCAGCCTCTCCAGCTCTGTCCCGCCGGGGCAGCCTGGGAGAGGAGGGCCCGGAGCCACCTCCACCACCCCCATTGCCTCTGGCCCGGGATCCTGGATCCCCTGGTCCCTTTGACTATGTGGGGGCCCCACCAACAGAGAGCATCCCCCAAAAAACCCGGAGGACTTCCAGTGAGCAGGCAGTGGCCCTGCCTCGGTCTGAGGAGCCTGCCCCCTGTAATGGGAAGCTGCCTTCAGGAGCAGAGGAGGCTGCAGCTCCTCCAGGTGGTCCTCGGAAGGAGGTGGCCGGCATGGACTACCTGGCAGTGCCTTCCCCTCTGGCGTGGTCCAAGGCCCGGATTGGGGGACACAGCCCCATCTTCAGGTGAGGGTTGTGTCTGGCACCACTGCTACCTCCAGCCCTTCCACTTCAGAGCAGGAGGCCAGGGATGGGTTTGCAGAAAGGTCCTAGTTTCTGTGCCCTTGGCATTTCAAATGAATCTGCAACTAGTTTGGCTGCTGCCATTTACGCAGTTTTAGGGAGAATTACAACTACAACAGCATGACTTCTACAAACCAATGATTTGCAAAAGATAGTCATTCCCCATGGCCCAATTAGAGAAAGCCCCCTCCCCCACTGCTTAGGCCAAGGGGAGTTCCCCTAGTGTTCCCCCACACTTAGCTCTGGGCTGGCACTGTCTGGACTTGGGCTTCGGACTGGATTTCAGACCTACAGTGGGTGGCAAGAAGTCCTGTTCTCTAACTTTTAATTTCTAGGGCCTGACTTGGTGGAAAGTGTACCTGCTCATTCGAATTAAAATAGCATATACTTGCAAGACAAATTTCATGTTAAAATAAGCTGTTCTTGCATTTTTCTACCCCTTTTACCCTAAAAGAATCCTGCCCATTCCAATAATCCTAAACCTTGGGGTATGAGACTGAGCTGACTCCATCCAGGAAAGTTTTCTGCAGAAAAAACCTTAACACCTGCTCCCCTAGGTTCCTATAGAGCATGGTTTCTCACCCTTGGCACTAGTGATATTTTGAACAGGATAATTCTCTGTTGTGAGGGCTGTGCTGCATGTTTAGCACTGTAGGGTGGTTTAGCAGCATCCCTGGCCTCTACCCACTAGATGCTAGTAGCATCTTCTCCCCTAGACAACCAAAAATGTCTCTATGCAAAAATGCATTACCAAATATTACCTGGGGGCAATTACCAGTTGAGGTCCCCTGGCCTAGGGTATCTGGGAGCTCAAAACAGGAATGTTGCACATCTGTAACTCCCAGCTTCAGGAATTGACCTGCCTGGCCCCAACTAGTGGAGTAGGTGCTGACCTGGGGACAGGGTCTGTGCTCAGTCCTGGCTTCTGTCAGTCACTGGCTTGCACAGCCCACTGTGTTCTATCATAGGGGTCTCAGTTTCTTTATTTGAAAAACAAAGGGGTTTATCTCTGAGGCCTTTCCAGTCTGATGTGGTGCTTCTTTGCTCCACCCTTCTCATCCAGATCTAAGGATTAGGATGGGCTTTGGGTTCCTCTGTGTCTAAGTGAACCTTTGCCAACTCAGACCCTGGGGTCAGACCTGGAAAGGAGGGAATCTCAGGTGGGGTGCCATCTTCCGTAACCTCATCTTGAGGGGCTCTGTGGGGCTTGTAACCTTGCTTCTGGATTTTTGGGCTGTTTTGTTTCTGTTGTGATTTCTCCCACACCCAGATCCCCTCCTCCCTCACCTCCCAGGGCGCTGACACTCAGCGCTGCCCTGACCAGGGTCCGAGACTGCAGATCATCAGTGCTGTGCTCTTCTGTCCAGGACCTCTGCCCTACCCCCACTGGACTGGCCTCTGCCCAGCCAGTATGAGCAGCTGGAGCTGAGGATTGAGGTGCAGCCTAGAGCCCACCACCGGGCCCACTATGAGACAGAGGGCAGCCGAGGTGCTGTCAAAGCTGCCCCTGGTGGTCACCCTGTAGTCAAGGTAAGGGCAGAGGCCAGGCCTGATAGCCTTTCTCCTCTCCGGTCCCACATCCCTGCAGATGGGATCCAGCTGTGCAGACCCGTGGCACTGCCCTTTCCCACACTCCCTCTCAGCAGTGACCCTGCAGGCAGGCTGGAGTTGGGGGAGGAAGAGTGCCCTTCAAGGACCCGGATATACTTTCTACTCCTCTATCCCTCCACCCCCACTTTCCTCATCCCGTGGGACACCAGCCTCATGTCTACTCTGGAAAATGATGGCCTGCCAGATGTGGGGGAGGGTTTAGGCCGAGGCCAAAGTTCACTGGGAGTTAGGTTGTCTCCATTGAGTTGAGCCAGTCTCTCTTGGGAGATTTTCCCCTTTGCCCAGCTCAATTTGGGCCTTATTCCAAGAATAACACTGTGAACTCCAGGCCATGTTTTCTCCACAACTGGTGCCCAATTCCCCCTGGGAATCCCTTCCTGGATATCCTTTGTCTTTCACCAACTTCAACCTCTGGTGGACTGAAAACCCTGGGATGGATGAAGGATGAGACAGTGGAGATTTCAGTTGGGTTACCTGTATCTCCCTCTGCCAGCTCCTAGGCTACAGTGAGAAGCCACTGACCCTACAGATGTTCATTGGCACTGCAGATGAAAGGAACCTGCGGCCTCATGCCTTCTATCAGGTGCACCGCATCACCGGCAAGATGGTGGCGACAGCCAGCTATGAAGCAGTGGTCAGTGGTACCAAGGTGCTGGAGATGACTCTGCTTCCTGAGAACAACATGGCAGCCAAGTAGGTCCCCACTCTACTTCCCCTCAGTCTTCAGGCTTCGGGACCAGTCTTTTCCATGGGTCCTAAGCCAGACCCACTCTTCCTCTTCCCGGAAGAGCTAGACATCAACCAGAGGAGCAGCTTCAGGCCTTCTCACCATCTAGAAGAGGACTTTGGGGGCTGGGGAACACTCTGCAGAGGCCATCCCTGGGTTAAAATAGCCCTCCTATACTCGCAGAGAAGGTCTTCAGGGCTTTGCTAGAGGGCAGGGCTTCCCTCTTGGGTGGGTGAGGGGCAGCACCACTCTGGCTTCAGCTGGGAAGGCTTGCCATCCACTCTTTGCCTTTAGCATTGACTGTGCTGGAATCCTGAAGCTTCGGAATTCAGACATTGAGCTGCGGAAGGGTGAGACGGACATCGGGCGCAAGAACACACGAGTGCGGCTGGTATTCCGGGTACACGTGCCCCAGGGCAGCGGGAAGGTCGTCTCTGTACAGACAGCATCCGTGCCCATTGAGTGCTGTGAGCAAAGAGGCCCTATGCTATCTTTCTGTCTCGTGGCTCTCTCGTCTGTGTGTCTGTCTGTTCATCTCTCCTGGGCATAGTGTCCTGTGTCCCGTCTGTTCTGGGTAGCCCTGTAAAGGAGTTAGCCCTTATTTCTATACTGGAGGGGTGGGAGGAGGCTATTGCCCTGGGGAGGGGACTCCGGAGCAGGAGAAATCCAGGGGTGGCTACGGCAGCGGCTTCCGAGACAGTGTGCCTATCCAGGGTATCACGCTGGAGGAAGGTGGGTGTGGTGCTGGGAGCCGCAAGTGTGAGCATGTGTGAGAGATTTGCCCCTGCTGCAGACTCTGTCTCTGGGTTGGACTAGAGTGTCCTTGTCCTCCCTCTGCCCTGGGTGGCCCTGGGCAGGATAACTCTCCGGCATGCCCTGTTGGCTTCACTCTCTGCCTGGGTGGTTTCTTACATGATGGGTGCTCCCCCAGGGACTCCGTGGGTTTACTTGTGTGCCTGCCACTGAGGAGGGCTCCTCCAGGGCCCTGTGGCAGTTATTCCAAGGAGCTGGGGGCAGAGGACACTGTCCTCTCCATACTCAGCCCAGCCAGGCCTTCCCTGCACTGCTCTGCAGCCCAGCGCTCGGCCCAGGAGCTGCCCCAGGTGGAGGCCTACAGCCCCAGTGCCTGCTCAGTGAGAGGCGGAGAGGAGCTAGTGCTGACTGGCTCCAACTTCCTGCCAGACTCCAAGGTGGTGTTCATCGAGAGGGGCCCTGGTGAGTACCCCCGGGGGAGGGAAGGGCTGGCAGGAAGAGTTGGAACAGGCAGGTGGGAGAACTCTGGCACTGTCACTAAATCAACTAATTGAGCCTGAGTTTCCTTCTCTGTAAAATGGGGCAGAAAGACTGTCCTTCTTCTTGGGCATGACAGCAATCTACAATGCTTAGGATGCTGAACAAGTGTAAGTAATAAACATGCTATTTTTTAAAGAGAAGTTGGCTTTGAGATGATTGACCCCATGTGGATAGGAGCCATGAGAAGAAAGGAAGAGGTAGCTTATACCCTCACAGCCGCATGCTGAGCCCCTCCTGAGTTATGAGCCTGGCAGCAGAGCTATGAGCACGAGATCCTGTGACATACCCCAAGACGGAGCTTCAGGGTGAAGGGAAGACTGAGGGGCTCAGGTGCACCCCCCAGCCTGAGGTCTTTGTCCCCCCACAACCCTGACCACCAGGAGCACTAACCCCCACACTCAAATCTAGCAGATTCTGAGGTGCTGGATCATGAGTCTTGAGGTCACACTGCCTTGCTTCAAGCTAGCACCCTTCCCTACCCTTAAACTTCCTCCCAGCACTATCACAGGAGGAGATGCTTGGAGCTGGGTGGGAGGGTTCAAGAGTTGCTCTGTTACCCATGCCTTCTGATTCCTAGGCTGGCCATGCTATCTCTATGGGTCTCAGTTTACTGCTCTATATCTTATGGACAGTTTTAAGCCTTGCCTTTTCCATTTAATTGAGCAAACATGCAGTGGGCTCTTTTGTGAGCCAGGCCTTGTAGGGGCCTTCTGAGCCTGACCGTGGCTCTAGCAGGAGGGGAAATGGCAGGGGACTGGGCACGGGGCAGGGCCCTGGAGCTGAGCTGGAGTAATCTGTTTCCCCGCACAGATGGAAAGCTACAATGGGAGGAGGAGGCCACCGTGAATCGGTTGCAGAGCAATGAGGTACCAGTGTCATTGGGGTGCCCACCCTGGGAGTGGGACAGGGGAGAAGTCGGGGAATTCCCAGCTGTGTCCTTGCCCATGGGAATGGACTCTGAAGTGACCTGTTCTTTTCTAGAGGAGGCATTCTGGCCACTCTGAGAGCAGGTTCTTCTCTAGGGAACGAACTTAGCTCCTGAGCAAATGGAAAAATCCAGGAGGTGGAGTTCAGGTCCTTGGAAGGGCTGGGCTGAGCCTGTGTCCCTGAGAGCTTTCTGCCTCATCCTCTGCTCCTTCCCAGGTGACACTGACCCTGACTGTCCCTGAGTACAGCAACAAGCGGGTGTCCCGGCCTGTCCAGGTCTACTTTTATGTCTCCAATGGGCGCAGGAAGCGCAGCCCTACCCAGAGTTTCAAGTTCCTGCCTGGTGCGCTCCAGGATAGCTCATGGTGGGGTGTGGGGACATGGGAGCTGTGCAGGGCAAAGGGATGCCGTGCCCCCACTGGGAGGGGGCAGGGGCTGGAGAAAACCTGGAAATGGGAAGGTGGGCGGGAGTGTGCAGTGGGGAGTTTGCCAGCCTTCTCACAGTGTCTCCTCCTGCTTCCCATCCACCCAGTGATCTTCAAGGAAGAGCCCCTACCTGACTCATCTCTCCGGGGCTTCCCTTCAGCCTCAGGCCCCCCCTTTGGCACTGACATGGACTTCTCACCACCCAGGCCCCCCTACCCCTCCTATCCCCATGAAGACCCTGCTTATGAACCTCCTTACCTGTCGGAAGGCTTCAACTATGGCACACCCCCTCTGTACCCACAAACGGGGCCCCCACCATCATACAGACCTGGCCTTCGGATGTTCCCTGAGACTGGGGCTTCCACAGGTTGTGCTCGCCCACCTCCAGTCTCCTTCCTTCCCCGGCCCTTCCCTAGTGATCCCTATGGGGGACGGGGCTCCCCCTTTCCCCTGGGGCTGCCATTCCCTCCTCCAGCCCCCTTCCGGCCTCCACTGCCTTCCTCCCCGCCTCTGGAAGGCCCCTTCCCTCCCCAGAGTGGCGTTCATCCCCCATCTGCTGAGGGGTACAATGAGGTAGGGCCAAGCTATTGCCCTGGGGAGGGGACTCCGGAGCAGGAGAAATCCAGGGGTGGCTACGGCAGCGGCTTCCGAGACAGTGTGCCTATCCAGGGTATCACGCTGGAGGAAGGTGGGTGTGGTGCTGGGAGCCGCAAGTGTGAGCATGTGTGAGAGATTGCCCTGCGTGTTTGCTGAGGGCTAGAGCTTGGCTTCCCAGAAATTGGGCATCCTTGATTCCTTGGGGCCAGTCAGAGGGTCTCAGAGGCAAATTCTTGATGTGTATAGCTACGTGAACCCATTTAACTTAATTCTGAAGGGTTCATGGGGTTTCGGCCCCGACCCTTCTCCGTGATCACAAAGTCTCAGGCTAGAAGTCCTTTGAAGGTTATGCAGTCTAGCTCCCCAGTTTGCAGACTCAGACACTGAATTTCAGAGAGGAGCGGTGGCTTGCTGAGGCTCCAGTCAAGCGTGTTTGCCCTTGCTTCCACTTTCCCCTGAACATGGTGACTGTGGTCAGAGTTGCCCATGAGGAACCTTCGTATTTTACGTCTTCTTCCTCCCACTGACTGCACCCATCACTGGCCCTGCTGATAGCAATTGTCATGATACTGCAGGCTGCTGAACCAGCGGGAAAGGGTGGGAGGGGGCCTGGGAGCCCACATGGATAGAACTGAGCAAGATTCAACACCCGGAGCAGGTGTCAGGACACATTGGGGAAACTGAAGCCCAGTGGAGAAGGAGCCTAGAGGCATGCTAGACTGAGGCCTGCCTTGAATGGATTGAGGGTCTCTGGAAAAGGAGGGGACCTGCCCCTACCTAGCCCAGTCTCTCAATTGTCCCTCCTTTGCAGTGAGTGAGATCATTGGTCGGGACCTGAGTGGCTTCCCTGCGCCTCCCGGAGAAGAGCCTCCTGCCTGAACCGTCAACTGGCAACCCGAGCCTCCACAGCCCCTCCAGCCTTGCTCACTTTCTTTTCACCCTGGGGTGGTGGTTCCAGAAGCTTGGGGCCAATCTGGTTTTTCTCTCCCTAGCTTTTGCCTTTCTCCCCTGCCCGCCCTCCCCTCCCCTAGCTGAAATGTGCCCCCCTGGGCCTGGTGCTGCCAGGGAGGGTTCGGGAGGAAGAGCGTGGAGGACTGGGGTGGGTGGAGACTGAGGCTGGGTGGGAGGACGGCTGATCGAAGGCTGCGTCTAGACTGTGTACGGGCCCTGGTGCTGGAGGCTGGGGACAGTCGATGGGTAATAAACCGCTCACTGATGAGTGCTGATCGAGGCTCCAGAACTCTTTGGAGAGAGAGGAGGTGCAGCTTATCCTGGCCTGAGGTGGCTTAGAGGTTGGAAAGAGATGGGATGTAGCTGGGATCACTGTGTCCCTAGGAGCTTCTCAGAGCAGGGGCCTGGGGAGGATGTGAAGGGGCCTCAGAGGTCCGCAGCTGGGTGGGGGCTGGGGCCAGAGCTTCAGTAGCCTCTTTTCCCTGGGATGCAGATGCCTGGAGGGTCTTTGGGATGGGGCCCAGGAATATGTATTTTTCAAGTTTCTTTCTCTTGCTACCACTCAGATGATTCTTATTCACAGCCTAGGTCAGGAAACACCAGTCTAGACCTTCTCTCTCATTTACCAAGGAGGAATTTAAGATTCAGAGAGGGAGAGGTGTGCCCAAAGTCACACAGCTAGTCAGGAACAGGTTGAACGCTGTACACCTGCGCTTCTGCCCCCAGTCCACCCCCAGACACCCCGACTCATCAGGCTCAGGGCCCTGAAGCTTATCTCCCTGGAGCAGGGTTGGGGGTGAGGGAGGGCTGGCATGGGTCTATTCACAGTCTGGATTCTTGGGGACTGTGAGAACATTCTGGAAAGAACTGTGCTTTGGAGGTAGACTGCAGGAAGCCGAGCAGCCCCTGTAGCAGCTCGGAGTGCCACCTGCCCCGGGGCCCAGTGCATTGTGTGACCTCCGAGCCTGTTCTGCTTGTGTGCCCACATATCGCCACTGACAGGCCTGTGCTGAACACTGGGTTTCTTCCCTGCCTTGACAGCCTATGGGGCCAAGTCCCCAGTGGATTGGAGGAAGTCAGGCCTTGTCAGTCCTGCTCCATGGAGCCTGGCACATGGTGGGCACCGAGTACCACTAGCGTGCGTTGGCTAGACCTGGCTGCTGGGGGCCATACCCAAAATGTATTCAGGGCATCGGTACTTGGGAAACTGGCCTCACCTCCATGCTGGTGGGGCCTCTCTATGTCTAGTGGGTCCATGCAGGTCTGGCAAGAACCCACGTGTTTAGGGGTGGGTGTGAGAGAAGCTGGCTCTGGAACAGAGAACAAGGGAACCAGGACAACCCTCAGTAACAAGGAATTTCCTTTATCTTCCTGAATATAAACTGCTGTGAACCAAACTGACATTAAGTGGTCAGTGCATGGGGCCTTGGCTGCTTTCCAGAGCTGCCCTCCAGTAGGGGCCAGAGTCGTTGCCCTGTAATTTCCATGTCAGGAGAGACCCTGGGACACGTGTGTTATATCCAGCATTCTTCGACTCCCCCGCCCCCCCTCTCTACCCCAGGATCCCTAACAAGGGGTTGGTAGGTCAGCTCCTGTGAATAAAAAGCTGTATTGAAGGGGACTCACTACCTCCCTAGGTAGGTGATTTCATTTTCGGCCAGGGTACTGCCATTCATTCATGGCCAGACACTGACCCAGCAGCTACTGAGTGCAGCCAATGGGTCCCAGAGGGTCTCGTAGCTTCATGAGGCAACAGTAAGTCAACATCTCATTATAACTCAACAGTTCAACTCAGTATGTATTTCTTCTAGTATGTCAGGTCTTAGTGGGGCAGGGAACAAATTTGTTACAGGGTGTACAAGGAGCAGAGGGCAGGGGTAATCTGTCCAGCTGTGGGGGCTAGAGGGAACTTCTGAGGTGACTTCTAGATTGAGACCTGCAGCAAGATGAAACTGACCAGCCCAAGAGCAGGGGAAGGCAGGCCAGGCAGAGCTGCCAGAAGGGGCCAGGTCCTGGAGGAGGGGCAAACAGGGAAGGTTGACAGATGGAGGGCTTGCCGCACTTGAAGGCTCAAGAGAGGTTCTGTGCCATGTGGGTAGAAAAGGTTAAGTTCTGGAAGTGGGGGTCCCTGAGGAGGGACTACAAAGGAAAGCATGGGCTGGATTCTGAGGGGTCTTGTAGGCGTGCCAGGGAACTTAGAGTTATCCAGTGATGATGGGAGCTTTCCCACTAGACGGTAGGCTTTAAGCTGGGAGTGATGCAATCGATTTGCCCTGAAGTTCCCCCTGGGGGTGAGCTGACATCTGCTTGCCTGGGAAGGCTCTGTGAGGCGCTTGTGCTGCCCTTGCTTCATAGGGCTCACCCCTCTCCTCGTTAGAATCCTGACGGGGGTCAGCCTTCCAGGATACCCACAGATGTCTAGCTCCCTGAGGCTGGGGTTGGAAGAGGGGAAGGGTGCTGGATCTTCAGGTGGTGCCAGAAAAGACTTTCTTGGCCAGGGTTTTTCAAAGTGTGGTCTGAGGATTACTTGCCTTTGAATCACTAGGTGTTGGTGGTGGAGTGGGGTGGTGGTTTGCTTTGTTTTGCTTTGTTTTTTAATGTAGATTCCTAGGCAACCCCCAACCTTCTCAATTATATTCTGGTGGGGGTGAGGCAGAGGCCTAGGTAACTGCTTTTTAAAGAGTACTCTGGGTGATTCTATGGCACAGGAAAGTTTTAGAACTAGTGTCATTTGTCAAACAAGTGTAGGTCTTTCTCATCCAAACTCAGCAATAACCCCCTGCCCCTCACAGATCTTGTCTGGGCTGCTGTGGGCGGAGGGTCACCAGGAAAGTATTTGGGGAAGTGAAGGGAGCAAACATTCCTGATATTGCAACTTATCTCTTCCCTCATCTGGCTCTGTCTTGCTGCTTAGATGTATAAGACGGTGCCAGGGACAGCCTGGAAGCCTTGTGTGGGCGCTGCTTCCCCCAGAGCTGAGTCTCCTCCTCTGGTTGCAACTCTGGGTCTCCAAGATGTCTGAGGAGGGCTCGGTGGGGAGCCTTCCACTTGGATTTTGGGCTGTGCTTGGAGAGAGCTCTGAGGTGCCTTGGAGCCTGCTGCCAGACCTTCTCAGTTGCCATGAACTGCAGAGAAGCAGTATCTTTCACGCTTCCTGGAAATCCCAGATGTGGGAAGTGCATAGGGGTTTGGCTGCTTTTTTTAGGAGCTGGTTTTAGTATCCTCAGTGTCAGATTGCTCAATTAGCCAACTCTCCACAATGTCCTCCAGGGCCCTTGGTCTGTGCCAAACCCTGTGCTAGGCGTGAAGGACATGAGCATCACACTGGGGCCTTGCCCTGGAGAAACGGACAACCCACTCGCTAGTGGGAGAGACCTTTCTGCCTGGAGCTGCTGGAGTGTGTGTGTGGGAGTGGGGTTGGTCTGAGCTCTCTGAGAGGCAGAAATGATACGTTGCTATGGAAACACTGGGACAGAACACAACAGGGAGGGTCTAAGAACATTTTACAAAGGCAGGTGATTTTGAATTGAGTTTTTGAGGAGGAGAGGGAGTTTTCTGGGTAAATGAGACAGGGATGAGAGAAGGGTGGTCATGCCTGTGGGTTAAAGTGTATGAGGTCAAGACCAAACAGGTAGGAAGGAATCAGAGTTGGGATGCTTCAGCAGGCCATGCTAAGGAGTGTGAATAACAGGGAGTCACTCACTCGTTTTGTCAAAGGTCTACAGGTGTGTTTGTGCATGTGCATGCATGTGTGTGATTGAAGCTTAGAAGCTGTGTGGAGAGAAAGTGGCAGGGAGACCATAGGGAAGGGTTTTGCAGTAGTTCAGGCAACAGAAGTCTGGGCTTGACCTACTACTTAGCTCAGCTAAGTGGGACGAGCTATTCCTCACAGGGAACGGGAAGGGGCCTGGGCTGGAGTCATGGCTCAGCCAACCATCTGTGCGATCTCCAGCCCATCCGACACGCAACAGGGCCCTGGCTGCCAGCTGTAAATGTTTACTGAGCGCCTGCGATGTGCCAGCCTCTATGCTAGCTACGGGGGATGCAGCAGCGAATGAGACAAACAGGGTTTGTTCCCTCATGGAACTCAGGAATTAACGGGCAGTTACACAACAGCGTCACGGGGGAAATGCTGGAGGCTTTGGGACCTCACGGAAAGGTCACTGAACTTGTTCTCTTGCACGCTGCCTATGCATCTCTTGTAGCAACAGTGGATGTCCATATTTTGAGAAAATCTTTTGGATCCACTTCTTTTTCTGGGGGTGCAGGGTCAAGGCATTCTCTGGAAGACGGGATTATTTCCAATGTCAGTGTTATTCTAGATGAAGAGCATCCAAAGTCAGGAAATGTGGGTTTGTCACTCAGGGGCATCTCCTATGCTTTTTTCTCTTAGGCCTGAACCGTGAGGAATCTAGTTAGGCCTGAGTGTGTGCAAGTAGCCTCCAATGCCTTCCAGTGAGGCAGGGGCCTGGGAGGGCGGAATGCCAGGGGCCCAGGTGGGGAATGGGGGCAGCTCTATGACTAGGTGGCACTCTACTTTAATGTTCTTCTGATTCCTTTAGCCCTTTTCAAATGTCTTAGTTTCCTAGGGCTATCATAACAAAGTGCCACAAGCTGGGTGGCTTCAAACAATAGAAACCTACTTTCTCATGGTTTGAGAGGCCAGAAGTCTGAAATCAAGTTGTTGGCAGAGTCTGTTCCTTCTGGAGGTTTGGAGGGAAAGTCTGTTCCAGTCCCCTCTCCTAGCTTCTGATGGTTGCTGGCAACCTTTGGTGTTTTTTGGCATATAGAAGCATCACTTCAATCTCTGCCTCTGTCATTACATGGAATTCTTCCCTGTGTCTCTGTGACCAGATTTCCCTTATTAAGACACCAGTCACTGGATTTAGGGCCCTCTGTAAATCCTAAAGAATAGAGGCCGCTTCCTTTCCAGTGAGACCTGGCCGAGCTTCAAGTCTGGCTTGGCTGTGCCTTGGGGTGGGTGGTGGCCGCTCCCCCCATACTGCCCTGGGATGAACAGTGCTGAGGTTATCACCCAGGAGTGCTAGGAAGGCGACTGACACCAGAGGGCAGCAGTAACAAGGTGGAGGGTGGGGTTGGAGTGTGGGAGAAGAAAGGTTAGAAAGCGATCAGTGCCCTGCCCCGATTCCTCTGTGAACTTCACATCCAGATCCTCTCCCGCATTTCTCAGACCACCTCTGGAAGACTGGTTCTGCTTCCCAGAACCATCTGCCATTCGGCCCTTAATACTCGTAGATCTGTCATGTTAACTGCGTTTTAGGGAGACTTCTCTGTCTCCCCTACTAGATTTAAAGGTCCTAAAGAGCAGAGACAGTGTTTTTATTAGTAACTCTTTGCAGATACAATGAGAGTTAGAGTGAATAATAGAAGCTGCCATGTTTTGTGATGTGTACCTGAGGGGAATGCTTTGAGGGCCTCCACGCCCTTTGCCGCAATCCCCAACCCAAGCTCCGAGATACTTTTTAAGAACCACAGCAATGGAAGTACATAGCACTTAGGGAGAGCTCACCTCCTGGCGCTTCACCATGCCTCTTACACAGCTCGCCTCATTTGAGCTTCTCCCAACAATCCTGAGAAGTTGCTCCTGTTACTCTCCCCATTTATAGCTGAGAAAACTGAGGCACAGAGGGCTTAAGAAGTGACTAGAGTCACACAGCTTCCTGAGGACAGAGCTGCAATTCGGAGGCTATCTCCTGACACCAGGTCCAGCAATCTTCTCCGCTATACTGCAGCCAGTTCCTTACCTCATGGGTGAAATCAGAGTAAAAGTAAACATCTAGTAAAGTACAGCATGGGGAGTATAGTCAATAATATTATAATTATGTATGTTGTCAGATGGGTACTAGACTTATCTTGGTGATCACTTGGTAAGGTATATAAAATGTGTAATTGTTATGTACACCTGAAACTAATATAATATTGTATGTCAACTATGACTGAAAAATAAATTTTAGCCCTGGCTGGTGTGGCTCAGTGCATTGAGTGTTGGCCTTTGAACCAAGGGGTCACAGGCTCGATTCCCTGTCAGGGCACATGCCTGGGTTTCAGGCTGGGTCCCCAGTTGTGGGCGCATGAGAGGCAACCACACACTGGTGTTTCTCTCCCTCTCTCTTTCCCTTCCCTTCCCTTCTCTCTGAAAGTAAATACAAAAAATCTTTTTTAAAAAGTAAAGGAAAAATAAATTTTAGCACTGGCTGGTGTGGCTCAGTGGATTGAGTGCACGCCTGTGAACCAAAAAGTGTGGTTTGATTCCCAGTCTGGGCACTTGTTTCCCCAGGTGGAGGTACACAAGAGGCAACCACACATTGATGTTTCTCTCCCACTCTTTCTTCCTCCTTTCTCCTTTCTCAGGAAATGAATAAATAAAATCTTACAAGAAAAATAATTTTAAAAAAAGGAAAAAAGTAAACATCCAGGGCTGCCTTCAAATGAAGCAGCCAGACAACTCAGAGATTGAACTTCAGACTTTTTTTTTAACCCTCTCCTGAGGACATCTTTTTTCATTGTTGTTTTTAGAGAGGAAGGGAGAGAGAGAAATATCTATGCACTGGGACGGAAGATAGTACAGGTCTGGACATCAACCTTTCGGTTATTGGAAATGCTCCAACCAACAGAGCCACACTGGCCAGGGCTGAACCTCAGAGTTTTAATCAAAGGCCTTGGGCATGCTTCCATTTGGAAATGTCTTACTTCTTAAGTAGTAAAATGCTTGGTTGGGCAGGTCCAAACAGTGCCTGAGATGCTTTCCAGGTCTAACACTCCAGGAGTTTATGTCACAAATAGCAGTGTGCAGAGGAGCCTGTAGAAGGTGACCCTCCCACTCAGGGGTACTGGATAAAACACAGGATGGCCAAGTCCCACCTCTCCAGTCCCTGGCTGAACAGGTGGAGTGGGGAAGGGGTATATGGGCTGGATGTATGTGCACACGAGGAGTGGAACTGAACCCCTTTCCCCTCCCTTGTTTAGGTTCTTTAAGGAGATTGCTCAGCCTCAGAGAGAAGTCTTCTTCATTCCTTGTCCCCCTGGTGGCAGAGGACAGAGGAATAGAGTAGGCCAAGTCCTCGACCTGCCTGGTCCTGGCTGGCCCCACACGCTGGCCGTGCAGACAAAGCTATAGTACATGGATACAACCAGGTGCTGAAACGCTTTATTTCCCCTAATGTGAGTGACTATGAAGAGCACAAAAGATTTTTCCAAGGCAGGGGAGATTGTTTCAATTCCATTTCAGGTTGTTTTTGTATTATTTTCTCTATCCTGAAAATTCTAACACGTTCCTAACTTAGCACCCCACTAGCTACTGACCATAGCCTCTCCTGGTTTTGGAGTTTCCCAGTTTCAGGTGGATCTGGCTGCACTCTGCTTCCCGCCTCCATCAAGACTCCCTACTGTTGTCTTTTTTTGAGGTTGTAGTTGGACAGGGTGACCTTTTCTTGCTTTCCCAAGATGTAACACACCATCACCAAAATTCTTGTTGGCTTCATTGTTCATCAGCCATCCAAAATTCTATTCTGTTATGCAATTCACACTACTAATTCATCATTTATCAAACTTAAAAAAAAGAAATATGTAACTGCAGGGAGAACTGTTGGTCTCTGCTGGGAGGAAAAAGGCATGTAGGACAAAGACCCTCCCTCAGAGAGGCTGCAGCTGTGCAGGAGGAGTTTCTCATCCAGCCACATTCATTTGTTCACAAAGGAATTGTTGAGTAGTAAGCACCAGGCAATGGTAGGCACTGCGGATACCAAGAACAATAAGATACAATTCCTGTCCTCCAGGAGTTCACCGTGAAGAGATCACTAGCTAGTAATTTGAGGTGTTTGGTAGGCATGGTGCTTTAATAATTTCTGCCTGTTATCTATTGCTGTGTAACAAACCATCCCAATTTAGTGGCTTAAAACAACAATGATTTACTTTTCCTTACAGTTCTGTGGTTTACCCTGGTGGTTCTTTTGCTAGCCTCACCTGGGCACACACACATTGTTGCATTCAGTGGTCAGTTCACCTAGCTGGTCCTAGATGGGCTCACTCCCATCTGAGCCCTCAGCTGGGACTGCGAGAAAGGCTGGGATAATCTGGCTTCTCTCTGACCACATGGCTTCTTTCTAGGTGGGTTCTCACCCTCCTTCAGATGATACCGGGCTCTGTTACATGATGGCAGAGAATTCCAAGAGGGTGAAAAACCAAAGTCCCAAGGTCTCTTGAAGTCTTGGCTCAATGTTGCAAATGCTACCTACAGTGCATCCTATTGGTCAACCCAAGACACAAGGCCGGGCCAGACTCCACCTTCTGATGGGAGGAGTGGCAAGGTCACGTTGCAAAGGGTGTGTGTATAGACAGAGAGGAATTTGAGGTTATGTTTTGCAATCAACCGCAGTTGCCAACATAAACACAAAATTCTATTTCATGTAAAAGTTTAGGTTTACTTTTTTTTTTCTTGAAAAATGGGGAGATTTGGCAACAAGTTGCTAGAACTGAGTTACTACTGGCCTACTGAGACTGGACATTGCTTCTCCAGCTCACCAGAGTCTCCCCATCACTATCTATTGCTTATCTCAGGCTCTGCTCAGCCAGCAAACCTCCTCCTGACCACTGTCTGTGACTGCTGATTGTGACTGCTGTCTGTAGCATTTCTGGCGATAACCATGGAGGACAGTGTGTGATGAGATCAAATGTGTCCTAGAGGTTACTCAACCATTTGCTCCTGTGCGGTGACATGAGGCATTATAAAGTGGCACAGAAGTAATTTTCTATTAAAAATAGTTTAAATGCTGAAGCTAATTAGTTCTCTTGAATTGCTATCAAAATTACCACAAACTGGGTGGCTTAAAACAACAGAAATTGGTACTTTCAGAGTCTGGAGGCCAGAAGTCCAATATCAAGGTGTCAGCAGGGCCATGCTCTCTCTACAGGTTGCAGGGAAGAACACTTCCTTGCCTCTTCCAGCTTCTGATGGCTCCTGGCCATCCTTGGCTTGTCCTTCTCCTGCATCCCTGAAGTCTCTGTCTCCATCTTCACATGGTCTTCTGCTCTGTGTCTCTCTGTCTTCTCCTCTTCTAATAAGGACACTGGTCATTATTGGATTCAGAGCCCCCTCTAATACGGTATGACCTCATCTTAGTTAATTACATCCACAAAAACTCAATTTCAAAATAAGGTCACAATATGAGACTCTAGGTGGACGCGGATGTTGGGAGGACACTATTCAACCCACTGCACTAGTGAATGGTTCTTCTAGATGAAACAGGGCATCTTGAAATGTGTGCCTCTATGCCACCACACTCACTACAATCTAATATATTTTGTTGAGTGAGAGCCGAGCAGCATTATAACTAGGAATTTTGCACAACTGTGGTCATACTCAGAGAGTGTATCTGCCACGTGAATTCTCCAGGTTGGGAGGAGGAGGAACAAGAAGGGAAAGGTTGAGGACAGCTGGTAAAGATAGTGAGTACTACTTGATTGGAGAAGAGGTCAGAGCAGCCAAGAGAGGCTTCAACAGGAGGTGGGAAGTAGTGTTTGACTGAGACCTCCGACTATAGTAGGGTTTAGATGGGCAAGAGAAAGTGAAAGAACAGCCTGGACAAAAATTCAGAGATTTCGTGACACGCTGGTGCAAAGTAAGTGATCAGCATGGTCGGACGATGGCAAAGGTGAACGGTGATTTTTGGGGTGGGCAGTGTCAGTCAGGACTGCGAGGTCAGACATATATACCTGTGAGCTGGTAGAACCAGGTGTTCAAATCATATCAACTGATTTTATATCTCATATCTTGGACTCCCTTTAATATTTCCTTTGGCCCTGGCTGGTATGGCTCAGTGGATTGAGCACCACACTGTGAACCAAGGGGTTGCCGGTTTGATTCCCCATTGGGGCACATGCCTGGGTTGTGGGCAGGGTGCCCTGTGTGGGATGCATGGGGACAGCCACACACTGATGTTTCTCTCCTCTCTCTCCCTCCCCATCTCTCCAAAAATAAATGAATAAAATCTTTAAAAAATATATTTCCTTTGAACAGCAACAATAACACTAAGAACTAATGATTATAAATGTTTACTAGACATATAGTAAGCACTTTATATACTTTATCTCATTTAAGGCCCCCAATTTCCCACCTCATTGACTAGGTAGTATTATTATCCTCTTTACATGTGAGAGAGCTGGGATTCTTAGACCTGGGATATAGTCTCTGGGCTCCAGATATCAGAGCCTACCTTTTTGATCACTATGCTCAACTGCTGTCACCAAGTGGGTTCCATGGAGAATAATGTTGGAAAGCTACTGGCAGGAAGTGACTGAGGGCGTCTGAGCAAGCTTGTGCCATCAAGACAGTGGGATTCTTCAATTAACTGGGCATCTGGCTTCCAAAGCCGGGGTGGTGTCTGTGGCTTCTGAGCCAAATACATCTCAGGAGATAAGGACACATTCATGGGTAAAATAAGGAGAAGCAGTGAGTGAACTGCTTGTGTAAAACACTAATCTAAGTGGTCAGTTCCCTCTTAGATACTATAGGCTCACTACTGCTGAGAGCTGTGAGTTTTAGTGTTAATACAGTGTTATAGTAAAAAACAAAAATCAAACAACCTCCCCAAACAACAACAACAACAACAACAAAACAAGAAAGAAGAACGCTAATGTAGACTGTTGTAACAAAAGCACCACATTGGTGCTGGATGTTGATTGTGAACGAGGCTGTGCATGTGTGGAGGGGAGGGGCAGATGGGAGCCCTGTACTTTCCACACAAATTTGCTAAGAACGTGAAACTGCTCTAAAAATAAAGTCTAAGTGTACAGGAAAAAAAGAGGAAGGTAGTGGCTTCTGAGGCAAATATAGAAAACACAGGTAAATAGTTAATTTTTTTAACTGCAAGACCTACAGCATTCCTTTTCCTTCATAACACTCAATAGCATTGCATTGCTATGATTATGCCATTATGTGTTCAGCTCCAGGCAT